CTCACGTCTGACTACGCACAACTGTACGCGTATAACACTCTCACACATTTCTTTTTGTATTATTTTTGCTTTTGAAACTGTGCCTACTGTCTCAGAGCCAATTTACTAACTTATTCTACCAAGATGTTTTTCCATTAACATGTGTCAATTGCATAAGTAATTATAGAGAAAAATTTTCAATAAAATCACGTATAACACCTTCACACATTGTCACATTTAAACTGCAACGTAGCAACAAAAAGACGCACAATCTTGCCCTGAAATTTCCACACGGACCAAATCTTAAAACTTCAAGCAATCTCAATATTCACTTCCCACGAATCACATCACGTCACGTCATGTCACACAAGTGCGAAAAAGAACGTTCGAAAGAAGAAAATTCAGTCTCAATAAGAATCCTATCGCGAAACGAGAATAAACGAGCCGTGCGACAATAACAAACAGGAGTGCTCAAAATTAATAAAGCACCGCGGGTGTATCGGTCCGCGGGGCTAGGCGCGCACGGCCGCGGCACGCGAACCAGCATCGTCGATAAATTACTGGCGGTGCACGGTGTTTCCGCGTGACACGAAAGCTTCGTCCCGTAGGAAAAGAAGCTTCGTGTGCACACGGGCAGGGGAAAGCAGGCTCGCGAACGCGGCACCAGATAAAAGTCACATGCGACACAGAAGCAGTCCGCGATGGTGTTGGCGCGCGTTTGCGGAGTGATGCATTGGTACCGGCAAGTGATATATGCTTATGGGGCATGCCGGAGTACCGGACACGCACACGCGAGGCCACGTAAGAGATACACGTGTGTCCGACCGCGGCGTGTTCATTATGTACTACGGCGAATCATAAAGCAGACGCGAAGGAGAGGGCAAGAAAAGAAAAGAAAAAAAAAGGAGAGAAAGAAAAGAAAGGATTAAAATCGCGTAGAATTTTCCAGACGACCTAAACGACGGATACATACGGTGGAATAACCGTGAGGAACGTGGAGAACCCACACCTTTCTGTGTGTGTTGGGGACCACGCTTTTCCAATCGATATGATTTAAGTGGCGTTTTAAGAAAGCGAGATCCACCGCGGTGGAAAGAAACGGCGCGCCGGTGTTCAACTCAAATTGTAATTTATACGGCTATTACCGGGCCGTAGGTTGGCCATTATAAATTGTCGTTGTATCTGCCGCCGTTCTTATTTATAGTTCGCAAATAAATACCGCGATAATGCGACGCGGCCGCTCCGCGTATTTGCGATTCTAATAGGCGCGCGTTTAGCGAGCCGCGGCTACGTATTCGGATAAACGCGAATAACGCACCGCTGCGGGTAATTAAGCAATAACGGGGGGCACGGTGTTCTTGTCGGTTCGGGGAAGAACGAATGTCTCGCGGACTGCTTGGCGATTGTAATAACGTCGGCGATAGGGATTCATTTCTGGGAGAAGTAGAATTCGTTGTAATCATTCGTTCGTAGTTGAAATCGTGGAACGTGGCCTATATATGAGAATTTAGAGTAGAGTAGGACCCTTTGTAACGCGGGAGATACGTTCTCGTATTTTATACTGGAACCAAAACGCAAAAAATTAGAATTGAATAAAAAAATTTCTTTTTGTATAACAGAGATAATAAAAATGTAAAATTTTCTTTGTTGCATGTGTAGAATAAGTTAATTAGAATCGTTTACTGTAATATTCTACGTACACATTATTCTGCAATATTCTATGAAAAATATGTATATTTAAGAGCTGAAAAGATTATAAAGATAATAAACACTTGAGTAAAAAATGTCTGTCATCCGGAACGTGTTAAGTTCCACAGACATCGCTTTTTGGATGCTGGTGCAGTTTCTTCGTCGGTTGAATTTTCTTCAGCTTCAGAATTTGTACTTCCTTGTTTTTTTATTATCGCGTTATACTGGGCAATAGTAGTTTATCCTAGTGTATGTATGTTCACTTGTAAAAATGGAGCTCCATCTACATTATTATCTTCTGAGACGTGTAAAAATTCATCACGAATGTATCGCTTCATAATGAATTTTAGTTTTTAGTTTCTAAAGAAGATTATGAAGCATCAGATATTCTCTACAAGACACTTAGTGTTTTTGGTGAGTATTGAGAAGCGAAAAGTACATATCAACCCTTCAGACTCTTGGTACAGATTCTAGTGAAGGTATGAGAAAACAGTTGTATCAGTAAGAACATTAATTCTAATTCTAAATTTAGTTTCAATTTATAAGATTGAGGATTATCGAATTGTAAAGGTTGTAGAATACATTAGCTGTTCTAACTTCACACGGTATTAAAATAATAAACAGCTTACATTTACATGCATAGCCAGTAAAAAAATCATAAAGCAAAGGGGTTAACGATGAACTGATCAAAATTGAACCAAAAAGAATTATTAATAAAAATTTTAAACGCTTCTTATAAAGTGTAAAGAAGCTGTTACTACACTGAAGAACCATTCATTCTTTCTCTGTTCACTAAAATAAGGAAATACAAAAATGTTCCATTTTTTATGACTTAATTCAATCACGATTGTAATTGAAACAAGGAAAAGATACATTTCTTTACATATAAAGAAACATTTTAATAATTACTCCATGCAAGAGTTATTCTCTATTATACTCCATGCAAATTACGCAAAAAAAAAAAAAATTAAAAAATTATTCCAACTTTCAACAATACAAAAAAAAAAAAAGAAACATTATCTCACATATGTTGCATATAACCAAACCAATCATTCCCTGCGAATCGTCGAGATACGTATCCGTCTAATCATTTTGCACGGTGCACATTAACGTTGACAATTCAACAGTGTAGTAATTAAACGGCAAAACGAAGGAAGAGACTGAAACCAGTACACGATACCCTTGCAACGGAACGGTTTCATTCCGCGTGTGTAGCAATTTTTTCTGGTAATCGAGCGTACCCTCCCTCTCATTCCAATTTGAGAATCTTCCCGCGGTGGCTGTCCACGTGTCTCCTCTAACTGATTCATACGCGCGCATTTGCATCGCGTCCTCGTCGAGCGACACGATACGTTATTCGAAGCGTGTTGCATTATTCTAATCAAGACCCTAATACCGGCGCGCTTTTGCTTTTATTTGCACGTGGGCAACGCGGCTCGTTTGTACCCGTAATGAGCGCGATTGGGCGCGCCTATACGTCGCCGCGGCTCGATTCTACCAACGGTTTCGACCTATCTTTTCATTCGAACAAACCTTTGGCTTTCGTTTTCCCTTCCCGTGTAATTGCGCAGAGAATTTATGACGGTTTGAAATAGGCCGTGTGCCTTGTCGTTTCGCAAATCGGTCGAAAAATTGCGAAATATAGTCAAATATTTCGCTTGCAGAAGGAGATATAACTGCTGAACTTGATATTTCTTTCAGAAATGTTTGCCTAAGTTTCTTTGTAGGAATGTATATACACTATCACTCACAAGTTTATCGTAAGTAATCGTGCAATGCAAAAGTGTAACATAATTCAATTAATTTCATTCAAGTTGATGAAATTCCAATTACGTTCATCAAATTCAAAGTTTCGTATCGAACTCAACAAAATGAAGTTTACCATTCTCGCTTAATTCATTTCTTCGCTATAGTTACTTCCAGTTTCACTGCATTTTAGTAGAGTTAAATAACGCGTATAACAATATTTCCAATGTGCATTGTCAAGTGATTTTACCGTAAAAAAAAAAAAGAAACAAGATCTTGAAACTTAATAAGTTACTATACCCCGATAATTTATAGCACACGTACGAAAGCACATAATTAAGAACGTTGAATTTACTACCTGTTAAAGTGCTTCTGTCTAACATCATACGAAACAACATCAATTCCCTCGTTCGATTCCGTTCGCGAGCCTCAGAGATCCATTAATCAGCGCTTAGAAGTCATTTTTCAATACGCATCGATCAATTTATTGATATCCGCCAGATCGATTTGCGATCGGCGCATCCGATAAGTCTCGTCGACAGGGGCGAGGAACTCTGATTTACTGGCGACCCTAGCCAGCATCGAGGAAGAGAACGAGGTGGCAAAGGAACGAAGAAAGAAAGAGCATCGAACGAACGAAACGCAGCAAGAGGAGGAGAAAAGGCGCGCAAGCGGCGTCGGCAAGAGGAAGAGGAGGAGGAAGCCAAGACACGCGTGTAACAAGCGTCGCGGGCATTAATTTAGAATGAGCTCTACGACCCTATGCAAATCTCTCGTGTACAGGAAATCCTAAGGAGCCGGCCGGAGTATGAAACGTCGCCCCTCTTTGCTCATCCTATCCTCTTTGCGGCGCGGCGCAGCGCGGCACGCTTGAAATTATTATCGCGCGGTCAGCTTATTCCGCGGCCGCCGATAATGCGTTACTCTTCCCCTCTTTCACACCGTGAAACGCTACCTCTTGCCAGCATTTAATGTCCGTACCGTGAACTTGGCACCCCGCAGCACCAATCTCCTCACCGTGTCTCCGGCCGAGATAACTTATGGCCACGGTAGACCAACCGATTCGCCGACGCTCTGGTCGCGTCGCCGTGCCGTGTCGAGTAATCGACGACAAAGACGATTCCGCTGCGGGTGCTCCCGATAAGCCGTCAAATTAATCGACGAGAATTACGGCGATCCGGCGGAACACGTGACTAAGAAACGGTAAACCGATCGAGCAAGAAGAAGAGAAGTCGTCTCGGTGAAGAAACGGCGATGGGGGCTAACAGAGGAAAATTGGCGACTTTACGGCGTCACCGTTTTATTACGTTACCTCGTTAGAGCCGGTGACGTTACATCTGCATAATCTGTTGCGTTGTGGGAACGTTCTGTTTATACGAGCCGCGTGTAAAGTATGTATAAAATATGTTCGAGTTTTTTAAGCGGTCGTTAAAAAGAAACATAAGCTGGGCACATGTTCTATTTGTAACCGCGAAAGTGACGCGTTGAATTGATTCGTTGAGAGGACAGCATGTTTGATTGAAATATTTGAAGAAAAAAATGGTGCGTATGAAATGGTACACGATATACATCATAGGTCTACTTACTCGGATGAAGATAATTTTCTTTTACGTTCTTCTATATTGAGGTTTGCCTCTAACGTTGCTTGGTAGTCGGCATACCTTTGTATCCTGTAGGTGCTCGTCTTACCTAGTATCTTCGACACCGAGTTAATTTGATCTCGACGGTTTAATCCAACGTATGCAGACGTGTCGCTTAGCCACGACACGTAAACACCTCCTGTAACACGAATAATATTTATCGCTTTTTATATAAACGAATCTGGTCTACAATGCTGCGAAACGACAAAAATTTTATCGTAATACACTTACCAAATGGACTAAACAATTGAAATATATCACTAAGCTTCCAGTCTTTCGGGAATGTTATGTGGAATACGTGATCTCTACTTGGACTTGCTAAAAAGAAGATAACATACACCTTGTTAACGCCGAGGTCTAATTAAAATCTGTTGAGAAATTTGTAAAAAATTAAACTTACGATCTTTTCCAACAAGGTTTATGTATGGAATATCTTTTAATCTTAATATGAGGAGTCTAAAATGAAAATTATATATGTATTGTACAATACTTAAATAATAATGGGTAACAATATAAAATATGACAGAAAAACTTACTTGTTTAGGAAAGGATTGAGTAGAGGTGAATCGGATGAAACTATTGGAACTTTGGGGTCTTGTAAAGAACCTGAAAAAATTAACTTATTATAAGTAGAGAAATTCACAGAAAGTTCGTGTGAGACAATAGAATCACCTACTAACCAAGATAACTGGACAGTGCAACGAAACATACTGCAGTGATGTAGGCATCGTAGCCAGCTTCGTGACATTTATCTACCAAGTTAGAATAACTTCTATTATCAACAGGTTCCACTTCTGGCATTTTAAACGGTGGTTTACTAATTGTCTCTAGCAGTATATTTAAATTTGACGATGGTACGCTTTCCTTGAATTGCTGCGAATGGCAAATTACTTTTGTATCTATAAGTCTATAAAAAAATGTCGTATAATAGTCATGGTTGATACGATATTAGAGGTGTATTCAGAAAGAGTACTAAAAAATATTTCGTTCTCACCTTGGAAATAAGCTATGGACGAGAGACTTAAATTCTCTATAAGATTCTGGCAAATGTCCGAAAAATTGATGTACTATATGACAGAGATCTAATAACATATTATGACCAACTATTAATTTCCCCTAAAATGAAAATGTAATTCGTTATAAATCATAGCCCGTTGTTTTATTTCATTCAATAAACCAGATACAACTAGTAGAACATACAGAGTCTGCGATTTTTCTCATAAGTATACTTAATCCAGCTGCATGCTGAATTTCCATTCTTTCTTTTTCTTTTTTTTCTGCCTCTTTCTGTTCCTCTTCGTCTTTGCTTCCTAATCTTTGTATTACAAGACTGCATACAAAATTTTCCAATTTACTTTCGACTTTCAATTGATTTGGCCACCTCATCCTTACTTCCTGGTATACAAGTCGCCTTACAAAAGCATTACATTTGTCTATCGTTAATTCTTCCGCATCGGACTTTATGAATTCATCTATCCTCGTACTGAAATAATTCAAAGTTACGTTTTATGAACATTATCGGAATAAAGCTATTTGTTGACCAGTTTACCAAATATCTTCGATCTGAGGTTTCTCGACGTCTGAAATCGGCAATACCTCTGGCGTCTCATCCCTCGTCTTCTGCTTTTCTTCTAATCGTTTCATTAATTTCTCTTCTTCATTTGTGGTTAAATAAGGAATGCCCAGTTTGAAAAGTTTGTTGAAATCGAATTCTTGATTGGCCAGAAATGATATACAGGATGCCTGACACATAAATCTACAATCTGGAGCTGCTCGATTCAGAGGTCGTGGAAAAACGTAAAAATTATATGTTCGTTGACTGTACCTAAAAAAAAAAATAAAAAAAAAAAATTAGTCTCATTAATATAACTTGAAAATGTAGTTTATATTACACTTAGAAAACGATTTGGAAAAATATATTGTTAATTATGTGTTTAAAAAATATAGTCTATATTGTAACATTTTTTGCAGACTTTGATCACACGAGCTATTTATTTTTATTAATAAAATCTTAATACATGCATGTTTACATAAAAATAATATGGTTCAGGTAAATCCAGAAAAATAATTAAACAACAAATCGAACACGTACTTCTGTGTTTCGATATTGAATGTAAAAACTGAAAGGCCAAATTGTATAAGAAGAAAGTCCATTGATCCTGCTCTCAATTTTGCATAGTACTGAGCTGGTGTGTCAAAGGCTGCAGCATCGGGTCCAGAATTAAGTCCTGTGAATTCTCCATCAATCGCAAGGAATGTTGCATTTTTCAGAACGTCGTCCAATTCTACCAGCACCTCTTGAAAATCTGTAAATTTTGAAAAACTTTAGTTCCTCAAACAACGACTTAATTCCAGTTATTAGTTTCAAATTTATTATATATCTGATCACAGAAAGGGCAACATGTAAAAATAAAATTATTTTTGAAATGTAAACCTATTACGTAATTTATAACTGTTGATTGAACAATAACTACTTCTGCAAAATATTGGCAATAAGAAAAATACTGCCTTTTATTTATAACATTACATATGAAATTGAAATCATAAAAACCAAAAATAAAATGTTAACTTTTTATTTTGATTTGAAATAATAGTCAAACTTTGCGGTCATATACAGAGATAATTTGTTCAACGATTAAAAGTTGGCAGTAGTGCTGCCCGGACTTTGAATGTAACGCGTCGATCCGCTGTGACAGAGTACGATAATTGTAAAATTGATACAATAAAGAAGTAATTAGTCTTGTTAATAACATTATTCTTGTTGGACTAAGTGCAAAGTGTGTGTGTGAACAAGTGTAGAAAGTGTTAAAAGTGTAACAATATGTTAAATAAGTGAAATTCAACATCATTTCGAAATATGGCTGAGAAACGCGGGAAACGTTTGAGGAAACAATTCGAACATCATAAAGGTAAATTATATTTTGACTTACTAATGAATTATTCCATGTACAAATGATCTAAATCAAAAGTAAGGTAATTTATAGTTCTTTATTCGTGAAAAATAATAAAACTTTGCAAATTCTAAACGTTGGGTGCAACTTTGAAACATTTCATAAAATGTTGCGTCACTTCCAATTTGAATAGTTAGCGCGTTCTACATACAAAAGAAAATTGATATAAAATTAGTTATACTGGATTATGATCGAAATGTTAATAATTTGATAAAATGGAACGAGAAATATATCAAAAATAGTGATATCTTTGCAATCTTAACGTTCAGTTGAGACTTTCTATAAAATTCTTCATTTTCCCGATGTAGCATAGTAATTTAAAAATTAATTTCGATATCAACGTGTATCTAAAATAATATTTTTTATAACGATAAATGTACCTTTCTTTTGATTCTAAAATGTATCGATTACGAATTACTGACGAATCTTTGACACTTTAAGCAATGTAATTTTACGGAATAATTATTAATTAAATTAACTAAAGATATATTTCAGAAAAAGTGGCAAATTAATAGCAATTTTTTACTATTTAAAATTGAAAGCAAAAATAAGGAACTTGTGAACAATAATGATATTTACAAGTACAGATACATATTTATTGAATATCAGTTAATTATTCAATGTTGCATATACATATACAAACTAAAGTACTGACTCTACCAAAAACTTTCATAATGCCATGGGGTCGAAGTACCTGAGTTGCAAAATAAAACATGCCTTTAATATAAAGATGTCGCATATTGCTAAGAATTCCAGTGTCGTAATGTGAAAAAGTAGAACACTATTTCTACACTGGCCATAATTTGAATTGTACTCTAAGGAAATAAAAAAAGATATTTTAAAATGATTCATTAAAATTGTTAGCTTTTTGAATATCAAACTGTGTAGATATAACAATTTTAATCAACTGCTGCTCAGAAATATTTTTAATTACTTGTAATAGGAAAGGGAATAGGTTACAAAGTGAAAAAGCCATATAGAGACTAAAGCTTATATTTCTCACAACTTTGGCAAGCACTATGTAACTTAAATTCAATAAAAAATGATAATACTCATAGATACTTTAATTATTTTGACTGTACAATGTTGATATAATAATCACAGTATCCATTGTTTATTCTAAATTTAACTAAATTATGTAAGTTTAATATAATTACATAATTGTTATTAATATTTCACTTTTATTGTTTACACAGATAAAATATATTATCTTTAATATTTTCATATACCAAATGCTTCTAAGTATGTTTATTATTTAAAAATAACATATACAATATTTAATAGAATGTACAGTTGCACACAAAGAAAAATACAATAAGTTCCAAAAAATTAATTATTCGATTTTTCATTCATATCTGCACATTTTGTAGTATTAATTCTATAGGAATATCATTCTCAAGTTGTTGCATTATTAGATACTTTTTCATTTCTTTCTTGCATACTTTGAATGACATTTTCAATGACATTCTATGTTAACCTCTTGCTCTTGCAATACATTGTGTCAAAAATATAATACCTTCAACAGATAATAATTCATAATCTGCAAGATGTTTCATCTTAACAAGATCGCTTCATTTATTGTACCATTTTCGTTTAAAAAAACATTAGTTTTCTATATTTACTTCAAGCAGAAAAAGAACTATAACCTTCAAAACCACGAACTTCGGATACATTTTTACACAGTTGCATTGGCTATCAGAAAATATAGAGAGCATAACATTGTGTAAAACAGCTTCAAAATAAGTTCTTACACAACAACTTTACAACTCTGCAATTATAAAGCAAATACAAAATTCTGTCATTGTGTAAGCAGCAGTAATAGCACATAACGTATAGGAAAAGGAAATACTGTTTCACGTTATATCTAAGTTTTTCTTAAAGAGCGACTGTCCTAGCGATTGTCCACGTTTTTGCATGTTTGATTCCAAAGAGGCAACGTGCATGGACGTACAAACTTGTTATTAGAAATTAATCTAGACTATAGAAATTAGGAGCACACGCTCCCGCTCTCAAACAACACGATGAACAAAAGTATAAGTTGTATGTTTATCTTTTCCGGTTACTCACTCGAACAAGTCACTTCCATTTTTTTTAACCTTGCACTCACTTATCCACAACTCAACCTATAACCAACATCTCTGATTTCCTTCCCGGAACTGGAATTAGAAGCGAAATCTAACGGGATCCATCGATCCCACACGATCTTTTCGTACTTGACCACATTATGTAGATGGATTAGAATAGAAACTCCATAGACAGGAATTGCCGCGGCAAAAGAACCGCCATCTAGAGTACAATTGTCAGACTATACGCTCACGCTCGTTCATTCGTCCTGGGAACACACTATAACCTAGTAGCAAAAGAATTAGTCGATAAAATATAAGTTGTGTCGTATAAATGAATCACAAGATTAAAAATTACATGACAAATGTTGCAAGAAAAATATTAATGTGGATAAAATATAATAATAGAAAATTTAACATTCAATTTATTATCCTTTGCATTAATTTTTTGCATGCTCTGAAGATATTTTATTAAAATATAATTTATTTGAAGTAGCGCATTAAGCATTTTCACCAGCAGAATGCAGCATGATATTTGATACTTTATATGCAAAAATATTTTATTGCATAATGAAACTAAAAAGTAGTATTTAAAACATTTTCCAGGAGAACCAGTGCACTAAAACTAATGAAAAAGGTAGATTGTATCAATTTTTCATGTAGGTTATAGAGTACTTAGGTAATTGACAAACTATCATAGCTCCATCATATTGCTTTCAACATATTAATCTTTTAAAAGACAAAGTCAAAGGTGAAATGGATGTAAAAGTTTTTTTCAGCTTATGAAATTTTGTATTTATGTTGTTTCGAAATAATTTCATCGAATGGTTTAAGTTATAGAAATTGAATTTTAATTAAATTACATACTTTTTCATACATTTATGGAAATATGGAGATAATTGCCTTCACAATCAGTCTCTTATCATTAACTTCTTAATGATACACCTTAATAATGATTTTTACATATCATAGAATTGCACAGATATCTTCTATAAAAAGAAATTTACTCTTTTAATTGATAAAAATGTGGTATACCACTGATTGTGCTCAATTCCAAAGAATTATTGCTAGAAATGTATCGATTAGTAAGTTTTAGGAAAAATAGAATATGCCCGAACAAGAAAATATATTAAAATATCAATACAAATATACTCAATAAATAAAAGAAGGATCAGAATTACGTCCATGTGCAAACATAATTTCAATCATGGTAATCTTGTTAAATATTTCTTCATTTCCCACTTGTAGCTTTCTGTAAAAATGCTCTTATATAGGAAAGGATGGGTATAGACAGCACCAGCGAGAAAGTAGTCACCGAAAAGAAACCTACCGTCAAATTCTGGAACTAAAACCACGTGCGCGTTAATAGCTTGATCACGTGTTGCAATTAGATAACGTTATTTGACTGTCATCGGTTACACTTTGTTTAAAAAAAGAAAAATGATTAAAAGCGACAAAATGTAAAATTTAAAATAATCTAAAAAATAGTTTCTCGTTCTTCGTTTCGAATAGATTGAAAAGTCCGCGTTAAATCAAAATGGAATTCGAAATAGCACGATAATAGGCAATTACAATATCATGAATGTTTTATAGAACCAAGAATGTTACGCGGATAGCGGTGGCGAGAAAATCCCTTCGAATAAAATTTAAGATAAATTGTATCCGATCAATTCCGCAACGAAATAACCGAATAGATTGTGCCAATGGGGCTGGAATCTTGGTACGGTACTTTTACACGTATAACGCACTGTTCACCTTAAGCTTGAGAAATTTCGCTCTCTCGTCGATACCTCAAAAGGAATCACTCAACCTGTAATTCGCTGAAATAGTAAACTTTTAACAGCTTTACGATTTGTACAAGTTTTGCAATACTTCTCCCTGAAACACACCATCTGTGACGTGTCCACGTTTCGAGAATCGACGATTTTACGTTAGAAATCGCATTAAAACGCGAATAAAAAATATTGCCGTTCAGCATCATTGAAAGGCTGAAGGTCTGAATACGAATAAATGTAAAAATACTAGTATTACGTAGTATCAAAACTAACAGAGTTAAACAACATTAGAAATATTAAATTTTAACTTTTTAGTATTTCGAGATGATAAGGATAAAAATTCTTTCATTCTATTTTGTCTGGATAAATCTTTAAGTAGCAAATTTAATGATTTTTAAAAACAGAAACTACCACTTGTGGAGCTTTTTAATTTCGAGATTAATGTTTGTTTAAGATACACTTTCCGTTACAATAGTGACGATTTTTTTCAAGTTAGAGCAAATAAAAAGGTGGCTAAGTGAAAATTGAAGGAAGAATTTATCAACTTATTTTTCCATGCTCGTTTCAGAACCGATTCATTTGTCCATATTTTGCACGATGCTGTACCAAGATACCGAACTTCCAGTTTACCCGATATTTAAAGATATTTGACGAAACACGTACGTAACCAGAAATGGAATTCAATCATATTGGCAAACAATTTGCACTGACAATAAACGGACGTTCCGCAATCCGTTACTTCCGCGCCAGAACTAATTAAAGCGAATTGAAAGGTAATTGAATTAAGCTTTCAATCGTTATCTCTTCGATGTGTCTCCGGTCCGTGGACTGCGAATCGTTTCCTTCAAATGGTTGGCCGGATGGGAAGATTGGAAGAACAATACTCCGAAATAAAAGCGGAGGACAAGATTCGAAGGATCCAATTTAGAACGGAATACGCCTATTCGAGGTTCTGCACAATGCCAATTTCTTTCCTTCCCAGAGGGTCTGACCGTTTTTGGGGCGGCTAATAGTTTCTGATCAAGTTTCGCCTGCGTTTGTCATTCATTATTAATTATCGAGCCAGCCCGAGATGTCCTAGGTATTATATGTTTCTCGATATCGATGACTATTAGTGTCGCAATAAAAATATCAATAACGTTACTTTCTCATTCAAGTTTAAATCCGAAAAAAAGTACCTTTAAGGCAAAGAATAACATAACGATTAACTTAAGTCATAGCCAGGATATTGGCTTATTATAAATTTTGTTTCTTTTAAAATAAATAAATATTGCTTTCTGATTCGTTAGAACATAATTATTGTGTCATAAAAGAATTTTTTCTTTCTCAACTTTTATCGTTAATTATTTTTTATTACTTTTTGCCTGCAATCCTCGTAAATAATCTTTTGCATGACTTCCCGAATGATTATTTTACCAATGGATCGTTTTCCCAGAAGAAAATGAGATCGAAAGGTAGCAACGAAATGAGTCAGAATCACGGCAATATTCTTGTATTTAATCGCATTTTTTGTCACTTTCAGGATAAATAGGTATTACTTTCTGATTTCTTCGAACGCTGTGAAAGAATTTTTCTATTCCGACGAAGACCAAAATTCGCCTATTTTAAACACCGTCCTTTGATCAGGAACTTCTATTAAACATTTTTTCTCAGATAACATTTCCTTTTCTCCCTCTTCGTTTCATAATAAACGAAAATTCGTATTATCTACTTTAAATTCAGTCAGCCTTATTTTCCCATCAATTTCAAGAGTATCCAATCACATTTAACTATCCCAAAGTACAAATATTTTTAGTTCACTTCCATTAGCTCTCTCGTTAATTAATTTTCGTTAGTTTTTAGCAATTTCGTATTGCCGCGTTCGATCAAAAACTTTTAACCAGGAGTTCCCTTTACAAAAAGAGAAACTTTCGTAATTTTGTAAATCGCGTTTCTGCTTGGAAAGATGATTGAAATACTTCTCGTTTTAGTTGATCGTTTCGAAAAGTATCGATCGAAATCGTTATTCTATCATCGGGCCTTCCGTATTCCCGAATTGTCCGGCCGTTCGAATATTTATTGCCGCGGGGAAATCCGATTACAATCAACGAAAGGTTTAATACCTTGTAAGGAGCTCTCGATATACCTTCGAGCATCCCACAGCGCGTTATTTTCGTTCGAGCTGTTTGAAGATATCGGGGGTCCCTTCGACCCTAGTGCCGTTACTTCACTTTCTATCGGGTGTCCGTAATTTATATAACCACTCGAAAGAAAAGTTGCACAAGGTCCCGTGGCCGATAAGAAGCCATTTTTCATTTTGCCTACTGGAGACCGACGAAAGCCAGTCGGTGTTGGGGGTGTAGCGGTGAAGAAAAGAAGAAGAAAGAAAGAAGAAAAGAGGAGGAAGGAATGGAAAAGGGTCGCCCTTCGAGATTTCGCACCTTCGCCAGAGGGTTGAATCATTTCCCCAGGACTTAATTTCATTGCGCCCCCCCACCGTCGACAGTTATTCTTATTATTTTTCTCCTTCGGCCCCTAAATCATCAATTTCCCTTATTAGCTGTATTCTTGATTAGGAAAAACACCCTCCGGATGAGCCGCTTTTCCGCAGATATTTCTGCGGCGCGGTAATAGCGTCACGGTATCAACCAAAGTCTCCGCCGTAATTCTCGGTAGAAATGATCTGGAAAAAATAAATGGGTTAATAAAATCACGCGGAAACCTTTGGGGAAAAAATCGTACGATTTCGTTCCGATCGAGCGGTCAGTCGGGCCGTAAACAAAACGAGCTGTCGTTTTTTAAATTGTCACTTATTTTAATGCACTTCACTTTGTTTTGTTTGTACCTACGAACATTTAGCTATTTATTTTTGTCTTGATCACAGGCTGAAACGCTTGAAATTTTCAGAGAGTAAAAACAGATTGTATTTATCTACTGAGCAAAATATTTGTAATTCACTATTGTTCGTGTTTATTGTTATTTTGTAACAGATAGAAAATTAAGGAGGACAATAAAAAAAAATTTCTGTTAATTGGGTTTTACAGGTAACATTCGTATTTTAGGTAAAATTTTAAAAATAGATAGAAAATTTAATTGTTTATTGTTGGATTATTTCTAACAACACCCTATGGAAATAATCAAGTGCACTAACTTGTCTTATATTCAGTAAATTGTTTCTTTTCTACTTCAGTGGCGTGCTAAAAATTAATCAAATTAACTATGATTATACATATGTATCCAACAAAAGTTAATTTTTAAATTCGGTAAATGTAAATTTTTTCTTTTCTATTTCAGTAGAATGCTAAAAATTGATCGAATTAACTACAATTATACATATACAGTGGATTCCAGTTAAACGGGACCGGCGTTTATTTGGGACAGATACTGAA